GAGAGACACACACAGAGCTACACATATATATTTAAAAGCTTCTCTCGCAGCGTCTCTTTCGCCTCACGCAGGGAGAAACATTGGCCCAGCGGACCCTGGCTCACAGCCAGGATGAAATGAAATGATCCCGCCTCGCAGTGTAATGCTTAGTCAATGCAAATACACATTCCTGCTAGAACAAATGCAATGTGTACACTTGCAGCGATTGCTGGCATTTTCACAAGTGGCCGTGACAAGTGCGCGTGGGTGGCAGTGTGTCTGAATACTTCTGTTATAAACCCCAAACACCACCAGCATTAGATATTCATTTATGTGAGCCTGAAAGCTTCCATACTTCTCAGGGTGAGGATTATTCGACGTTATAGCCTAAACTTGCAGACAGCAGCTTTGCTTTTAAGGGGGTGAATACCTCAGAGAGGGTTGAGTACTGTGTGTGTGTGTGTGTGTGTGTGTGTGTGTGTTACTGTGAGAGATTACTGAGGGAAGTATGTGTGCGACTGCAGCCAGGCTCACGTGAGGAGAGGCTCAGGCGGGGCGCTTTGATTGGACGCCAGGACGAGTGCACGCTTTATCGCCAAGTGAATTAAATCTACCCAACAGCTGACTCAAGGGGTGCTGTCTCTACGAGAGTGTCATTCATTCAGCTCCACTGTAAAAACAGAGCAGCGGCCTACATGCACCAGTAACATTAAAGTTACATTGGCTCTCTGCGAAGTAATTATTCATTTATGAGCCTAATGAGTCCCCTACCAATAGATCCTTTAAGATCTGCAAGCAATTTCATGAACTGGAGTGTTTTAGAGCCCTATAATGTTTTACATGCTGTTTCAGAGGCTTCTGTAGCCGGAAAAAGTGTAATGTAGTATAAAAAGATGCCACAAAACAATGGCAATCTGACTGCTATAGCTTTGAAATCTCATAGTGATACATGAATTACTGCTAACTATAGTCTGCCACTGCATTTAAGCTCAGCGGCAAGAAAGAATAACCTCTTAACCAGGGAGGAAATGTCATCATACTGTCCATTACTCCACCTCAAGACATTTCCCTGGGCTGTGTGTGTGTGTGTGTCTTACCTTAGTGCAGTAGAGCATCCAGACCTCATACAGTCTCTCCTTGGACGCCATGGTGCCAGTGAGGGGGTCGTGTCCACCGAGGTCACTTCCCTGGCTGCTTCATGGTCTCTCAGTCATGAGCTGAACATCTCCCGCTGGCATCCAATGCTCAACCCCATGACAACCAACTCTGGCAAGGTGTAACGAGATAGATGCAAAATGGACGGCGGTAGGTAGGTAGGTATGTAGGTAGGCGTGTTGTGGCAAAACTTTCCGAAAATTAGTCCATGCCAGAGGAGAGCTGTGCAGTCCCAGAGAGCTCCTGGTGCAGCTGGGCCTCTACTTCCACTCCTGCAGCTCCTGCGGGAGAACCAGAGGGCATTCCCAGCAGCTATATCACAGACAACAACAACAGCAGGCTATTAAAACACCAGAGGCGGATGCTTTTTGTCAGTGGCTTCTTTTCCTGGCTGCTAGAGAGCAAACAAAATACCTCCAGTAACGCTACTCCCTGTGCACTTTGAGCTGCCCTGCTGGCTCCGACACACTGAAGGCGAACTACGCGGCAAACAGCATTAATAATGTCCGCACAACGCCTCCGGTTGTGCTCGGCAAACACTACCGTATCACTCGACCTTACCTGGCTGAGTTAGCTCAAACGCTAGCTGTCCAAAAAAAAGCCTATTTCTATTATTTTTTGTTTTTTTTTCCAAGCCTTCGTTTCTCCTCCTCCTCCTCCTCCTCCTCCTCCTCATGTGACAGAAACGCCTCGTCCTCCCAGAAGCCTGCCCGGTTACAGAAGCCTCACGTAACGGAGAATAAACGCGTGAATACCTGATGAATGTGAGTTCAAGACGTCGACAAACTGAAGACCCCTCACCTCACTCACCTGTGTGAAGAGCAACTGTCACTGACGCCGCGTCTCCACAGTGGACGTCAATGCGTCAACTTCCTGTCAGAGCAGCGTCGGATTTATTTCAAAATAAGAGAGAGCTCAGCCTGGAAGCACAAGGTTAGAAAAACAGCTGCACGAGTGTAGCAGCAGGGGTTGGGAGGGTTGTTTTAAAATTGTGATCTAATACAATTAGTAATTATCTGGTAAAAAAAAAAAAATTTAGTCAGTAACGTATCACAACTTTACTTTACATTACTTTTGGTTTATGTAATGTAAATACAAACAAGAGAAAAGAAGTGTCAATTAGAAATACTGATGCAAGACAACATAAGATAAGACAACAGAACAATGCAAATGGTAAAATAATGTAATGTAAAAAATTTATAATCAGCGTATTTTTAAAGAAAAACTGCTAAATAATCCCCATTTTTACTAAATATAACTGTACTCTGATCACATTGTTTTTCTGTAACTGTAATGGATTACAGTTACCTTTTTTCTATCCTGATTACATAACTCAGTTACATGTAATCTGTTACTTCCCAAGCCTGTGTAGCGATGACATTTTTCTTTGTTTTTCTACTATTTCTCTAAAGTTACACTATCCAGTAACAGAATTTCGATAACAGTTAACAGTTAAGTGATGTACTGTGTTTAAGAATATTTTAGAAGACTTTTTCTATTGTTTATTATTTCAAACTGAGTCAAAGATAGCAAGGTTGTCATTTACAGGAAAACAATATGGCACATTCCTGCCTACTGTGATTGGAAAGTGGAAAGATACCCTGGCCTGCAACAGAAAATCACTTTTTGTGGAGTTGCTGTAAAAAAAAACTAAAAAAAAAAACTCATTATGAAATCAAAAGTAAAACCAAAAGTTCGTAAGACTTGTATTATGGTTTTAAAAAAACATACTTAGAAGAAAAATATACTTTAAAGTATTTAAAGTATTAAATATACTTTAAAGTATTTAAAAATATACTTTAAAGTATTTAAATATAGTTTAAAGTAATTTTACAGCTGTATTTCATCAGCTGTATTCTGTTATGTGGTATGCACGATGTAAGACGAACCTTTAATTTGGTAGGCGAACCGGATACAGAGACCAAATTCACTGCAGCAACTGGCACAAAAATACTACCAAACAAACATAAACATAATCAGGCTTAAACTACAGTTTCTACACAGCATGCGTGTTAATCTTATATCGTATTTGACTTACAATGAGATAAAAACAATAAAACAGAATATGTGGCTTGTCATATTCATCATAACGCTCGGCGTGTTTGCGACAGTCTGCCCACTTTACGTTGTCGATGTGGAGCTATGTGGTTGCTAAGGGCTGTGGCGTTGCTGAGCTCCATCGGTTTGTTTTGATGCTGTATTGCCACCTAGTGGGGCAATTGTTCTGTACATGTTCCCCTTTAGAAATGTAAGATGGATTGTGCAAAATACTTCTATGGCATGATTTATTTGATTATTTATTTATTTTTATTTAAATTTAAAAATTTATTTAATAAATTACCATGTTGGAACAGATCGTTGAGATGTAGCTGTATGTCTCTTTCAATATACTTGTGTATAATCCTATTTATCTCTCCAGTTTTACCTTTAGGTGCACATCCGCAACCTTTTATACACACTCAGATGTTCTTTTAAAATTTGCTAAATAACTGGAGAGAGAAGAAAAGTAAAGAAAAACAAAGAAGGGAAAAAACTAATTTAAAAAAGCACATTAAAATACTCTAATATAATAATTCTCTCCCTTTTTATACCCCTCACACCTATCCTATCGCAGCTCCTAGCCATTTTCTAGTTACAGCTTTGTTGCTTGCAATTGACATTATCATAAACATACATGTGTCTCCTAATCTTGTGTCCTGTGTTCATTTCCCTGAGGTATAGTATGTTAAACGTGAGTGGACATTTCACCCTCAGTATCCTCTCCACACATCTTGGTTTTTCTTATGTGCTGGAGTTCATGATCATCAAGATAGCGAAGAGCAGGTTGTTTTCCAGTTATCCACCAATATCACAATGTTTGCCTCTTTCTCCCACTTTTCTTTTAAACATAATGTAATCTCCTTTTGAGCTCCTGTATACATCTTAGAAATTAACTTCCTACCATACTTCACATGCAGAGGTAAACAATGTGATAATTCCTAACTCCATCTCATCTAGACTCCTCTCTCTTAATGTTTTAAACCTCTTATCAGTTATCAATTACCTGGTTATACACCAATGACATTAAACATTATGACCACCAGCTTAATGTGTCCTAGACCTGAGTGGTCATAATGTTTCATCACATAGAAACGATGAAAGAAAAGGCATGAGACTGAAGGCGTCACTCCACTGGCTTTTTTTGTTGGACTAAAACCATTGACAGTATTTATAAAATCAGAGGACGCACTGTTTTCAGTAAATGACTCATTAAATAAATATAAAGGAATGGGTCACCTTTGCAGCTGTGTGTAACTACACTGATGGACAAACTTGTACTAAAACATGAGTCTACAGATAAAATAATATAATATAAATGCTGAGTGACTGCTACAGAGATGGAGGATTGTCCTGGGTTGAGATGAGAGGACCTGCAGGGAGCAGGATGAACACAAGATCACTACAGGAGACATGAGAGAGGAAGAAGAGGAGTTTTAATTCAGCAGCTCAGAGCAAAACATCACCACACACAAACATTTAGACATTTATGGCAGCAGCTGACTACATAGGTTAGCGTAGTTACGTCAAACTAACGTCAGTTTCCTCGTTTAGACCCGCCCCCTTTTAGAAAATTTAATTACATTTTATTTTTTTATATGGGAATTTTAACTGATAAGACTTTAAAGGAAGATGTCGACAAAGTAAATTGAATCCAAAATACATGTAAAATATTTACTGGTTAGATTATAAGATCTGCGTCACATTCTCGTGTTGCCTTCAGAGACACTGGGACATATTGTTATTTACGTCTGTAGAATAAACCTTACATACATAAACTGCTTAACGTCGTAGAACGAAGAAAGACACCATTTACAGGAGTTTCTCTGAAGTGTTTTGGAAATAAGAAATTAAAAACGAGTGAAGCTTTGAGAGGTTCATTAGTCCTCCTGCTGTCCGATGGAAATCAGACCAACATGTGAGGAGAACTTGAAGGCAGCACCGGAGCGGGGAGTGGCGAGAGTACAAACAGACCCAAACTGTGAGCTGATAGCGTCATTTACTTGAGGATCATTCAGTCTGTACTCCAGCTGTGGTAACTAACTCTTATTGGACTTTGTTTGTTATATTATATTTGTGTCAGACTTTATATTTATTTATATTTATTTGTTAATAATTAGATTTAAGTCCGCCATGTCTGTTAAAATAATTGAGTAACATTATTGGTGATTATGGAAAACAGTGTTGTGCCTGTTACGCAGCTATCTAAACATTGTTTACGAATTTAAAATCCTTAAATGCGATTATAGTTTTCACATTTAGTATGAAGAGGAAGAACAAATGTCGACTTCTGTTACTTTCGATTTTGCTGTTAGAGGAAAGGGACTATTTCTTTGCTGATACATTGTGCGTAATATATAACATAACGCACTGAAAGCCAAGAGCCAACTGTAATACAGTATTCTATTGTATTTCTATGAAAGGTTTTGACTATTTTTCCACCACTACTGTTAATAATGCAATGTTGTTTTAGGTGGCAGAGACTCAGAGGAAGGATGGCGACGCTTTGCCCGTAAGAACCAGTTTTATGTTCTGATCATGGAGGTCTACATGAGTTATGACATATAACAGGATACCTGTGAAGAAAGCTGAGTCTTGTTTCTTGTACTGATGCTATGCTGCCATGTTTTTGTAAACCTTTCTATCTTTCAGCCCAGCATCTGATATGCTTGCTTCACTGCAAATGAAGAGAGGTAGGCTATGTGAAGGTTACACTGCACACATCATAAAAACCTTCTATGATAAGTATTTTCTATAAAACTCTTCTTGCGTTCCAGATCCAGATTACCTTACACAGATGTCAGACTTTGTGTTCAGATACAAACACAAAACGTTCGCCTTAAACGGTCCAGCTGGTGCCATAATGGAGATAGGAGACCTGGATGACACCATTTACAGAGGGAAGCATGATGAGGTGAATGGGTGGGGGAAATTCTTCCTTCCAGAGATCGTCAACATGCAGGTTGTCGGCGTAGTGGAGGGGACCTCGTTCCCGTGTGACCAGCTGGTTCTGATGACCTGCGAGGACAGAAAGATGTACGCCTACGATGGAGAGGAGCTTCATGAGGTGGCTTCATGCTTTGAGCAGCTATGTGCCGAGGGGATAGAGTATCCAGCATCCAGGAGCTATTACGAAGGAGAGGCCTTCAAACATATGGTGAGAGGTTACAGTTCAGTTGCTGGGAACAAGCAGGGCTTTGCCTTTGATGATTGGTCACTTGTGGACATTAACAGGGTTTTCTTCTGTTGTGTGTAGAGTAAGGAGGACTGGGATAAAGTGAAGAAGGGCGATGTGGGGAAGAGTTTGGACCAAGCGCATCATAAACTGGTGACAGCAGAAAAGTCCAAATTCCTGCAGAGTCTCAAATCCTAATGTGAGTTATCTTTGCTGCAGGTTAAAGATAAAAAACTTCCTAAGAAAGTTTTATATGTATATATATATATATTTATATTTAGTCTTTATGATATTAAGTGATGTAATTTGTTTCCTCTGTCTCTCTCCAGGAGCCAGCAACGGATGCATTTTGTTTGCCTTGACAGTTGTTTGATACGTGTAAAAAAAAAAAATTGTAAATAAACCATGAAAACAAATAATGACTCAGTGGTTCTTAATCTAAGCACGTTTACTTTTTTGTTGGAATCATCAAGGAAAACTCTGAATGAATCCGGGAAATGAATGTGATGGATGCAGAGTCAGTGTATGGTTTTTGAAAATGATGTGAGATATCTGATAACTAGGTGATTATGGGAAACTGGAGTCCTTTTTTTTTACACCCTGGAGACAATGAAAGAACTTGTCAAAGCTTCCTGCTACAACAAAATTCACTGTAACATTTTTCTCTTGATATTATAAACAATATCAAAGGAGGATCAACAGAAATTATATTAACTTATTTTTGCGAACCACAGAGAATTAACTGGGGCTCCTATTGGCCAGATATTATTCTTTTTAACCTTTTAAACACATTAAATAAATATATTATTCCTTTGTGGTATTGTAAAGTTTAATGAATGCATATTCATTTAACAGGGGAGGTTGTAATGAACAACAAAGCACAAGATATAAGGGAAATTGGTTTTAGACTGAACTTGGTGACTTGCTTTAATAACTGAAAGGAGAAGATACATCCAGACCCCACAAAATACAGAAATAATTGCAAAAATGGGACCGACAGACACAATTAAACCCTGAACTATATGTGCCAGTCACAGCTACAAGTTGTGTTCATGTACAAGTCAGACAATCATAAAACATGCAGGAGTGCCAGATTAGCTGTAACTATGAGCATGGTGTACTGAAAGACTTCATTCTCTGTCTTGTAGTGGGGAAATCAGTACTTTGACATGCAGGAGAACAATCACATGATAAATATCTCTCCAATCTATTTGTGTAAGCATTCAGTGGCTGTTCGGTTTCTAAATGACAATAAATAAGGAGTGGTGCTTGGTATGGGGGGGGTATTTCTTACTTTCTCTTTCATCTTCTCTTGAGCTACAATGGTGAGTAGTTGCTGTTTTGGTTCTTTGCAGTTATTTTACAGCATTATGATTAAATTCTACACAGCTGATTTATTTTCTGTCGCCAGTGAACTAACTGTTGTAATGTGTGGTGTTTCCATTTGCATCAGGCTGCTGCACACAAGATGACGAAGTGAGTCAGCCGATTTACTGAAGCACAGTTGGTTACTGCTGCCTTCTGCAGTCTAATTCCCTCCCAACTATAACTATGTTTGTTCTTTATAGAGAGGAAGCATTTCTGAAAAAGAGAGAGACTTTCAGAAGGAATGCTTTCTGGATTATCGAGGAAATGGTGGGACTGAGTCCACGACATCCGTCAGTGTTGGTAGATGAGGTATGTCTGATGGAAAGTGTGGTGATCATTTGAAATTGTATGTTTTTTTACATAATGTATCGTTGTGTTATAGCACGGGTCTCAAACTGCCGGCCCGCTACATTATATCAAATATATAATATATATTATAATAGAATGTAGCCCGCGTTATTATTATTAGTTAAATGAGTTAAAGGGTGACCCGATTGATATTCGCTATAATTAGTTTGATCGCTATCTCCATAAATCAGCTGACACAACGATTTTATTCCACAGGGAGTTATTCAGTCTTTGACAAACACAAATTTTTTTTCACAGTCAGGGAGTGGTTTGGTATTTTGCAGAGAAACAGAGAGAGAGAGAGAGAGAGAGAGAGAGAGAGAGACGTTATCTCATGGATGGATAGCAGGCAGGTTTCACTCATGCGACCTCATTGTGAAGTTGGAAAGCTTTATGGAAACCGCCTGCTGACAGGAGGGACAGACCACTGTCTTGTGATACATGGAGAGGGAGCGGTATGTGTAAACTATAATAAAGTTGATTTAAAAAGGAAGAGGTGGAGCAGCATTTGTGTGAGTGTCAAATATTTTGTGAGTAAACACTAAAACACCAAAATAAAGTAGAGAATGAATTAAAGTAATGAACATTTTTTTGAAAAATGAATTTTTTTTTATTTGTTTGGTGCAAAATAATAAAAAAGGTCAGAGGTGCCTGCAAATGTGTGCAAAGGGTTGATAAGAAGAGAGCAGATGACATTTACAGAATATTTTTTTGTACTTAAATGTTAAAGTGGCCCTCCTACGAGATGACATTAGCAGTAGTGGCCCCAAGCCAATTTGAGTGTGAGACGCCTGTGTTATTGTGTATTTAGGATACATGATGCTTTTCAAAACAAAAAATACATCTACTTCAATGTGTTTTAAATCAACAGGTTCTCCACAGCATCTTCTTTCTGGGAGGGATCTTCACTCCACCATATTCTCCAAAAGATATTGTGAGTGATGATGACATGCTGAACAAGCTGAAGGGCCGCTACCCTCGGCCCTTTGAACTCTACTCCTCTCAAGTACCCAAGCGGAGTCCAATCTCATGTGTGCTGGACATGGTAAGACTATAGTTTGTCAAAGGATAATACAGTTCTGTTACTTGTCAAGCTGTGTATAGCTGCCTCTTCACCCCAATCATAGTGTTTAAAGGCAAAGCATGACTCAGTAAATGATACCACGTTTAGGGATAACAGCAGCTTGAAAGTATTTGTGATTGCTTGCAGATTGTACTCCTGACTGGACAAGAGAAGGAAGACCAAATAGTAAAGAAGCTGCGAGAGCTCATTGTTAAACTGAAGGAGGATGAAGCAACAGATCTGATCTCCAGCACCATTTGCGTCTCTCAGCCAAACAAGACCCGCAATTCACACACATACTACGGAGTCTCCATGTCCACCTCCGGTCCTAATCCCGGACGAATCATGATCGCTGCATCTTGTCTGAGCAACTGGGACAGTTACGTGGCTGGTGCAGTGATGACCTACTATCCAAACAAAGAGAAGAAGCTTTATTTTGATGGAACCATCAAGCTTCCAAAGCAGGTCAGGTGCGAGGCGTTCAGCCTCACTAAAGGGGGAGAAATGCTTCCGTGCAGATCGTGTGAAAACTTGTTTGGTTTGACACCAAGTGACACAAAGGTATGGCCGTATGGAAACTGTGCCGAAGCTGAGAGCGTGAGCAATTTGCTCAAAAATGAGAAGGAAGTGAGAGAGCAAGCACAACCAAAATCTCCAACGTGCACGGATGCGAACAGGGAACAAGCAAGGGAGAGCGTCTTGAAAGAGCTTAATAAAATTCTCCGCATGGTGCAATTTAAGTGGGACAAAAATTTTTACGCCCCACAAGTTCGATCTTAAATAGCAGAGATGATTGGATGCTAAAAATGTATTGTACAAGGATTATGGGACCATGTGATTCTTCTATCAGTAAAACCTTCTCTGTAAGCTTTGAGGCACTGCTTACTTCTTTGTTGACATGAAATTCATGTGATCACAGTTGTAAATCTAATGTGTTAACTACTTCCTACTGTAACAATAAAGATATGAATGCATTCATGGCAAAAAAAAAGTGAACTTGTTGTGTGTTTACTGTTTGAATGAAGCATGCAGAAGATACTCAGCAACAACCTTTAACAAAATGATATGCTTATTCTATATAATCTATAAAGACTATAAAAACTGTTTAATTAAATGAAGGCACATTACGGCTCGGACTAACTTCTCTGTAACCTGCAGCACAGAAACAGCGTCCACTAAGTTTTGCGTTTCCATGACCAGTTTAAAGGTTACATATGTAAGATTTTGAAACATTTTATGTATTATTTTCATTTATTCATCAATTTCTATTGCCAGTGTGTGAACGGGTTGTTTACACTGTTCAGATTTGGCCTGCTGTTGTCTGCAGTGTGAACGTAGCCATGGTCTGACACATAACAATAATTTGTGTCTGATGTGTCTTTTTCCTCAAAATGAGTAAAATTTCCACATTAAAATCCATAAAATGGCTTTTTCAAGAATCTATTAGTATACAATTTTTTTTATTTCTTAAGTTTTCCTGCCATTCTCAGTGTGTGTGCACTGGTGGCTTCAAGTTTCTGTCATACATGTATAAGTATTCTGTACAGAGAAGCTCAAAAATCCAACTGGAGGAAAAAACCAACAACAGATTTTTTTTTTTTTAAAACGGTACTTGTGTATATATTATATATATATAACTTTTGAGAATGTGTCCTTTCAGTGTTTTTTTTTTTTTTAGAACATAAAATGAACATAGAATGTTCTGGAGTTCCATACCTTTGATGAGTTCATAC